TATCAATGGGCGCATCTTGCTATGTACATTTTAAAGACAGACAGGAGATGAAATACCACAATACATATTATATTCGGATTCCGGACACGCTGTTGGCCTTTTTCGGAATTAGAAAAATTGGCATTTTTACCTACTTTCATCTTGGATGTTCAGAAATCTAGGCTGAAACCGAAACGAGATTCAACTTCACATTTCTTACGCTGTGGACGGTGGTTCGTGACCCGAACGAAATTTCAATATTCCCACCACCAAAATGGTTTTTTCTAACCTCTTAAGTCTCTTTAAAAACAAATTATTATTACGTATTATGATATTGTAAGTCCGATCTTTTCTCCACCGGTTTTTTTGTGAATGTTTTTTTTTAACCGGAGTTATTTCAAATGTTTCCCAAAAACGACATCCAGGAAATAGTTTAATATTTTAGAGCGATAGATATTTTAGCTGAATTTATAATTAACTTTATTCAGATACGAAATATACTGAGTACTTATTAAACTAAAAAGTATGCGCGACCGCCTTTTCAAATGTGAATATTATTTTTAGTATTATAATAGTTGTAAACCTAAGCACCGCGACAAAATACAGTTAAGCTATGTTGAATGAGGGATCTAGTTCAAACTTAGTGCTTACGGGTTTGAGTAAGACGTTAAAATAGCGAGTTATTACACTTTTACGTTATCATGTTTAACTGTCTAAAAGGTAGATAAATTCAAGACAGGCAGACTTTGCATAAAATTTGAATTTAATTCTATTGTATCCAAAATGGTGAGCACATCTTGTTGAGATGTTATATGGCTGACCTATATGTCTATCCTTTATCATAAAAATGATTTTATTGAACAACAAAGATGAATTTCGAAATAAAACACTCCCAACGATTAAAAATGCAAAACATTAGTAGGTTACTTCTTTGTAATTAATTTTAACTAAAGCCCGACGTTTCGGATGCTTTGCAGCAGTCGTGGTCTTGGGGGCCATTTTCAAACCTTCTTTTTTATTCTGAATTTAATTTTAAAGGTAATATTGAATTAATGTTACTTAACAAACTTTATAACGGCGGTCTGATACTAAATCTATAGATTCATAATTATCACTTTGTCTTTTCTAAATATATACTCAACTAAAAAATCTAGATATTAAATAGTTATGAATAATATCAAAATTATATTTCTTACTACCCTCAGATGAAAAAGTGTAAATTCCCGTTTCTGCTTCAGCCTTTGTTTACCAATTTTACACATTCCGAAAAGGCTGACAGCGCATCCAGATTTATGTATTAAAATTTATTAAGATCCAACTCCCTACCTTAAGAGCAAAATACTCGTACCACTAGACCAACACGGCCATCAATAAATATAATTAAGTTCGGTACATTGTATAGTGAAATTATAGAATTTGCAATGCAGATAATTATATTAAAATTGCAACGCGGTATTATCAAGAAAGTGGGCTTTTTACATCTTATTTATAACACAATTTGTACAAAATTCCACTTTTTCGCTGAGAGGTTTATAATTAAAAAAATAAATAAACAGCTCACTTTCTTAAAAAGAACATTTAAAGAAATACATTACAATATATGCTATTTAAGTTTAGCCTTTAGTAACGAGTGGTACACATTAAATAAAACACTTAAAACGGTTTTAAACTCGAAATGTACGAGTGAATTTATTTATGCTTAAATGCCAACATGATCAATGGGTGTAAAAATTAGACATATTTCCCATTTTAACATTAAAAAGTGTTTTATTTGTTACCTTTCAAAAAGTTAGAACTAATTTAAATTTTTAACATCTTTATCATTATAATGTAGGTTAAATTAAATAAATCACTTAATCATTCAATATCACTAAAAACATTTAAGTAAGTTTCAGACTCATTATTATAATAAATATATATATTATTTATAGTTTACGCGAGTAGTACACATTTAACCGTTTAAAACACGATGTATAAGTAAAACTTATTGACGGTTTTTAACGACGACCAGACATTTTGTATGCTTTACAGCTATGTAAATTTTAACTAATTTGCGTTTTAAGCCGTCAAAAATGTTTTATTTAAATTAATTCCTTGAAATTGCGTTTATAACATATGTCATAGTTACAAATACGTATACCTCTACCGGATGGAATATACATGTTGTGTACATATTTATTACGGTAAATAGTTCGCAACGAAACGATCGTGAGGAAAAGTGAAAACTAGACGTTGTATTTCACCGTTTTTCGAGTCGCACGCTAATAGCGCCATTATTCTTTAGTTCTCAGTAAATCGAAATAGAAAACTGATTATTAAATACACAATGAAAAGTGTCAATGGGCGCATCTTGTTATGTACATCTTTGTGACAGAATAGGACGAGGTCGGTCACGGAAAATTGGTAATCAAAAGACTGCAACCGAAACGCGAATGTACACTTATTCTTCTGAAAATAGTAACCCGAATATAACATTGATATTATTGCTGACTATTCATATATTTTGGTTTGGTATATATTAAGAAAACTTAGACTAACAGTTACTTATGCCTTACCCGGTCGACTCATGAAGATATACGACAGGGCAAAAGTGTGTGTGTTGATTTTACATTTAGATAAAAGCCAAAGTGTATTAAAACTGTATACAGAATTTCTTCTACATAATTTTATTATTTCTCACACTACAAATTTCAGCTACGCAAAAATTAAAAGCAATGTGTCCTACCATCCTAATTACCAACCAATAAATTAATTTTCTATTTTTAAATTTATTAAAAACATATTTTTTTTATTTAAAACATTACATTAAAAATATATAGTCGAATAAAATATCACGTATTAAGTTTAATAAACAATTATAGATAATTAAATACTGTCTATAGTTTACGCGAGTAGTACACATTTAAATAAAACACAGGGAGACCCCGTGACCACGGCTGCTGCAAGGCATCCGAAACGTCGGGCCGAAGTTAAAAATCATTTTCAAATAAGTTTAACTATTAATATATCGCGTTTTAAACCGTTAAAGTGTTTTATTTAAATTATAGATAATTATCAATTAAGCCACTCGCTATATATATGTATTTTTAGTCTTTTAGTTAATCTCATTTTAAGGCAAACTTATTTTAAGCCAAACTTTTATAAAGAGATCTATGTTGTGACCTAAATTGCCTAAGTAATCGGTATGTTTTGTGGACCAAGTCTGTATGGTCTGAAGTAACAAATTAGTGAATTCAAAGTGTAAATGAGTCACGAGCGGTGTTTGTTTGCTATTGTAATTTTACATAAGAAAATCGTGTTTGAACAACTGCTACAATTAGTCTTTATACTACTAACTACTAAATCTAAAAAATATACGATACCGATACCGATATAGGATATATATAGGATTATAGGTATTTAAAATATTGTTTGTTTTGTAAAATCCATAAAAAATTCGCGTTCTTTTCGCGTTTAACACAGATCAGGGAGTTGTTAGTATGTTTTTTTTAATTTGTGAAAAAAAACTATACTTAATAAGGTCTGTATGTGTATATGCAATACAAAGATGGCATGTAGACACAGATATAAAATTGAAAATAAACCTATTAGTTAATTTATAGTTATTTATTATTTCAATACAACGTTACGGATGCCTCGCAGTAGTCGTAGTCATAGGGGGGTCTGAAGTCGGAGTGCCGAGTGTCATAGTCAAATCTGGTAGCGGCATCTGTTTCGTCGTAATTTGTATTTGGAGAAAGTAACTTTTTAAACCGTTAAAAGTGCTTTACTTAAATGTTAACTGTTTAATGTAAACTACAGACAATACTTTAAAATGTTTCCTCTCATTGACCTACAAAATAAATAAAAAAGAATTCCCTCCGAAATGGATATCACTAATTTATACTTTTATTTTTACGAATAGAAGTAGAGTGTGTAGATGACATATTAAGATTGACGCTTGGAAAAAACTTACGTCGTGCGCAATGTGTCGGAACGAATTAAAAGAGTACCATATAATGCTACTATATTCATCGGATATAAATTACTGCTATACTCAATTCAAGTTTCCATTACACTGTATTGATTTATTGTCAAAACATTGTGTTTCTTCTATTTCTCAAATCACTGATTGAGACGCACGCAACGTTTCATGTCCCTTAAAAAAAGGCTTGTATTGTATAGAAGAATGAAAACCAAACAACTATCATTTTAATTGGATAACGTCAATTCTATTTTTAAACTGCCAAAGTTATTTGAGACCTAGTTCTTCACAATTACGTACAAAGCATCAGTAGTCGGAGAGAGGGTGGTAATTATATGTTTTTTTTGTAATGGTAAACAAAAAAAATCGAAGTTACCTTGACCAGTTAACATTACATCAATATTCAGCCTAGTTTCTTTGCACCGTGCTTTTCATAATAAGAAATTAATCCGTGCATGGAAACATATCTTTCGAGATCCATATACGGAGTTTGCGCCATAAAAGTAAACAAGTTTTAATGTATGAATTCGCACTGCAACCTTAATGGAGGGACCGGTGAACTCACACGGCGATAATGCCGGCTGGTTCACCATTTAAGATTTAATAGTTGCATAAACCAGCGGAACGAGGTCGAACTGGTGGCCAGCACCGCGACGTGAGTTTACCGGTCCTCTCGCGACCACAATGTTGCAATTCGCTTTGACATTCGACCAGCCGGGACAGTGAGATCACTCCTCCAAATGTATGAAAAATAATTGTGTAAAAATGCGAGTGTTTAAAAGAGAGCAGCAGCATTCCTGAGCGCGGCGGGCGCGAGTCTGCGCCCACGCACACCCCAGAATAGCCCATCTATCTCGCTCGAGATGGAAAAGCGCCTACGAATAGTGCCTATCGCCTTTGGTTCCTAGTTACTTAAAATAATGAAACCCAAGACAGTCGGCGCTCGCGCGGGCCGGCAGACCGCTGGCGCTCACCCGATGCTTATAGTAAAACACAGTACAAGATATTTACATCGCACAAGCTGGTTATGAGTTAGATAATGCAATGGGGTGCAAACCTTGCTGTGTGAGCATCTGTGAGTAATGCTGCGTCCGCTGCACCCGCTCCTGTTGCTGCACGATTTGCTCGCGCCGCTCGGAGTGCTGCTGCACGCTGCGCTCGGAGCGCTGCTCCGACCACCTCGACTGCCTCTCCATCACGCCACCTCCACAACGCACGAAAAAACTCTCACTCGACGCTAAAAGTCCTTAGCTTCGGCGCTCGCCCGAAAATATATACGCCACTGCGAGAAACTTATACTAGTCCACGGGTTCATTTAGCAGAAGTCAAGTCATTATAACCCAAACCAACAACCAAGACGTCGGTCGATTGCGAATAGTTAGCGGGTAGTGCGGAGACGAGGCGCTCGGCCGCTGCGCGAGCGCCGGTTCGCCGGGGCGGGGGGCGACCGAAATACGCTGGTTATTTTGAGACGACCGCGCTCCCGCGTGCCTCCCTCCACGCTTCGCACCCCACTGCAGACCTCTAGCTCCCTTCCCGTGTACAAAAATATAAGATAGACAAACAACACAACCGTAATTACAAGTTTGTTGTCGCCAATTAATGTAAACAATAAACTTCAATTAAGAAATCTGTAACGGTTATTTCGACCTAATTTACTGCGCGGACGTTTATGACTACATTTAAAACACAACATACCACTACATTGGTTGGCAGGTATACCGAAATTCTTCAGGGTCACGAACCAACATTCACAGCAAAAAAAGCCGTAAACTTTATTCGCGTTTCGGTATATGGATTTCCGAATAACCAAAACCAAAATAGGTCGGTTGGAGTTTTTCACCTACCATCAAGGGAACACGGTTGTCTGTCCTCCACTATCATTAAAAAATCAATAATTTGTTTTTTTTTTTCTATCTATATTTCATATATCTATATAATTCGATACATAAGTTAGCAATTTTATTACATTCATAATGAAAATAATACAGTAAATATGATATCTCGGGCTGTCAAAACCAATTATGAATTTAGATCGATACCTGTCTTAACTGACACATTTCCGATCGATTTCCTATGCGTGGAACCGATACTCAGATTACTTATTGGCAAACTTTGGGGGCAAGGAATGGGGCGTTTTTCTGTGTCTGTTTCTCCAATCCCCACCCATGCCCACCAAGCCGTTAGGATGTTGGTTGTAGGTTCGAATCCCAATTTTCAATCTTAAATACACTTCAATACAAAGTTCTCAAATGGAACGTGAAAATAATAAAGAATTAAGTATTAATTATTATTTGACAGCAATAGTTATTGTAATTCACATAAATAACTCGGTGAGACATTATACAATTGTTTATATTTTTATTGTTTTGACGTTCAATACTATACATAATTTACGCGAGTAGTACGCATTTAAACAAACCACTTTTACGCTTTAAAACGCGATATATATTAGTTAAACTTATTTGAAAATAAATAATCAATCTCCCCGTGACCAGGCTGCTGGAATATCCAAAACGTCGGACCGTAGTTAAATTAATTAATCGAATAAGTTGAACTAGTATATATCGTATAAACTGTTAAAGTGTTTTATTCAATGTTTTGACGTTAACGAATAAGTACACACCTATATATAAATGGAGATGCATTGAATACATAAAACAGGTTTCTTTCATAGCTGTCCATTTAACTATTTTTAATATAAAACTAAGTGTGTTATGTATAATTTTCAGTTTGCACCAATATGATAAAAAATAAGCAATTACAATAATATAATATATTTTAGTTAACAATTAGACTACTAGATACTAAGTATTGTCTGTAGGTAGTTTACGCAAGTAGTATATTTGAATAAAACACTTTTAACGATATAAAAAAATATATCTTATTTACATTCTTGTCCACGACTAGCTGTGTCAGCGACTTTGTCCGCGTAGAATAGTAATTTTGGGCAACCAAATCTGTTTTTGTGAACCTTCTTTCCATCTTTATAAATTTATGCCATTACCCACGTCGTCGTACGCGTCCCGTCGCTCTTGCAAGTTAATCTTAATAGATAGACATAGTGTCGCGTACTTATTCTAGATAAAGAGAAATCATTTTTTCCTACATATTTTTTGGGTATCTTGACCCGTTTTCTCAGCGTATGCACTGGAAACCCACATACGTGAATAAATATCCCCGTTTTTTCCACATTTCCCGCTGTTTTTTCACTCGTGACTAATGTCATAGCACGATGTTTTATATATTCCCCGATAAATGATCTAACCAACATAATAAAAGTAATTTTTCAATTCGAACCAGTAGTTCCCGAGACTAGCGCGCTCAAACTAACAAACTGTTTAGCTTTATATATTACTATGGATAGATTATTTTAACGGCCCATTTCGGATTTGCACACGACCTTGCAGCATCCGTGGTCACGGTTGGAACATAGTTAAAGTACATTGTAAATAACTAATTTATTTCGCGTTTTAAACTGTCAAAAGTGTTGTATTTAAATTCTTCTTCCAGCCAATCAGCTCAGAGGCAAGCAAAGAGAAGAAATAGAATTAGCTTAACAATATCCCCCATTAGATATACGGGACAAAGCTTCTGCGGTCGAGGTAATCGGCTTCGACTATAATTAATTGGGAAATCAGTGCGTGGCCAGCACGCGTTAAATAAAGCGCAGTTTTACGCTTGGCAGAGATAGTTTAATTAACGATACGCAGTCTTGATCTGGTCTCGATCTTATGGTGTAATTACTGGCTGGTGCTTCTAAATAGTTCGTACGCAGTGACGTCACAGAACCAGCTGTTAAACCATACGTTGAGTGACATAGGATAAGTTTCAAAATAGGCACGGGGTAGTAATATCGAATTTTGATTTAAATACTGTTAAATACTGTCTGTCGTTTACGCTAGTGGAAAACATATTAACGGTTTAAAACGCGATATATATGATTCATTATCTTATACGAGACTAACTGTGCCAGCGACTTTGTCGGCTTCGAATAAGTATTTTAGGCATCATATTTATGTTTGCAAACAACCTCTTCAGTTTTATAAATTATGGCTACCCATGACGTCATCCGCTTCCCCCCGCGGCCCTATTGCTTTTGTAGCAAAATTTCTATTTCTCGATATTTCTTATCCTTTTTCGAAACACTATCACAAACTGTGACCTCAGTCAAACATTGTTATAACTGAGTTTCGTAGTTTTCGCCAAGTTTTAATGAAGTGATTCGAAATTTAAATGGAATTTCAACTTCGTAACGGTTGTAATGTATTCGTTCTTTTTTCTCACATGTTCAAATTGTTCATTGCTGACATGTCAATTACTACTATACCAGAAATGTTTTACAAAATATAAAATGGTATTATTACAAAGTACATATATCCATTATACGAAAACATTAGCTTAAAAATGTATTTACAATATTAAGTTGTTTGTTGGCAGCTGAAATTAAAAAATATGTACATTTCTGTATATGTACTAAATCTTCTGTATCTATCTATCGCGTTGCTAGGTTTGCCCTGTTAGGCCCTGGCCAAGAAAGAATCAAATCCTCACCCCTTCTTTCTGTGTAGTTCTGGCTTATATAAGCTTCCAAAATTATAGAAACAATTTCTTTCACATTTTTTTTTCAAATATGATACCTCATATTCTCTCCCTCCCTCAAGAATTCTCCATTAGCTCTGGGTAACCAGGGCCCTGTTGCACCTGATCCTACTATAGCTACGCCACACATGTGTACCATAGGCAGAATTATTAATTACTTTAAACTTTTTTTATTTTAATACTTTTTACATGTTATGATGGCAGTATATAGATTAAAAATCGAAAATAAATTGAATCGTAATAACTCTGTAATTTAATCTTCAATGATTTTCTTATTCTGCACAGCATGAGTCGTTGAACCTTAATAAGCGAGTGCCAAGGTTGAAATTACATTGCGCGAGAGGTGCATGAATGAATAAGTTAAACAAAATTCGACGATGAGGTGTAGGACTCGGTAGCTCAAGTGGTGGAGCAACAGCTGGCGATGCCGGTTCAAGTCCTGCCCGAGTCAATTTTTTTTAAACTTATTTTCAACTTTGTTTTATTTTATTTTTGAGTATCCGAATGTGATGTTTTTTTTAGTTTCGAACAAGGGATGAAGACTAAAGTGCGATTACTTTAGGTCGAGAGATTAACGATATCAATTGATTCCAGGAATCCAAGAGATGAAAAAACCCTAGCTACCGATACAACGTTAAAATCAAAAGCATGCTTCGCGGTCTGTTTAGAAAATCATTATTTTTCCCACACGTGCGTCAGCTGTACTGAATCATTGTCGCTAAATTATCCACATAAGTAATCTCCGAATTGGTCATAGTGACTCTGCGAGTAGGCGAGGTATTTTCGTACTGGATTGCAAATCGTGGCGGGGGATGATATGCAACTAACTGCGGCCCTGATTACGCTGTTTACACTAGTAACATTTAACATCCTGGTATAATTAATTGTGTATGCAACAAAGGTACAGTTCTCTCCAAACGATTTGGCCGGACTGAAGTTACCGTGGCCGCCATCTTAAGCATGGTACTGTCAATTTTAAGCAAAAAGTCGATTCGCCCTCCAAGCGCCCCCCCCCCCCCATGTCGCAACTGTTTTTTGCGTTCTGCGCAAACTTCAGCCCGTCCAAAAAGTTGGGAGAGCACTGTACATAAAATTACTTTCGCACGCCTTTCACTATCCGTGAACAACCAGAATAAGGGCTCTGAGATCGTAATTCAACCGACTTGTTTATGTCATCGGCACTGAAAACAGGATTATTCAAGCCATCGGAATTCATCATTTAATATTCGAACGTACAAGATAAACAATTTTTATTTTGATTCGTCTGTCATTGCAACTTGTTTATAGAAAACATATCCTCTATTTCACGTTCGTATGATCACTTCAGGTTTGAATATATCTTGTTAATGGATTTCATATTTTCAGTTTATTTTATTTCAAAAGTGAGTCTGCTAGAGACAGAGTGGCCTAATAACAAAAAGCATGATTTTCAATAAGGAGGAAAATTAAAATGCGCAATTAACTTAGATAAAAGTAAATTATACCATTATTTGTGTATTGTATTATGAATTTTCGGTCACTGTGTTCTAGTTTAACATTTTAGACTAAAAACATAAATAACTTAAGTCATAATATTGTTAGGCTTCTGTGCCTCTAGCGGCCTCATACCTTCGTAATATATTCGATATTTTCATATTCTTCTACTCTATGTTTTTTTTTTTTTACATAATTGAAATTGTAATCAAATTAAACAATTGAATGTAACTTCTCAGTTTCTTATTAAAAATCTTTAAAAGAGAATAAATTTATTATCACACAATTATTAATATCTATTAACAGTTAAGTTAAAATTAATTTAATTTAAATCTCCTTTTTGTAATGTCGGTAGATTAGTTAGTTCTTATTTAGTGTTAGTTTGTAGGTAGCTGTAACTTTTATGTAATAAACTGTCGTCCTATGGATCCCGCGTTTAATTAATAACCTTTATAGGACCATAAGATGGCTGAGACTAAATATGCGAAAACCACACAATATTTTAGCTATTTTGGGTATGAAGTAGGAGAAATGCACTAGAAAAACATAGCAGGGTGTATAGATCCTATAATTTCATACGTCTTATTTTGACATTAAAAAATAACGATTCAATAATAATTGAAAAGTCGATAACAATTTTTTTAGAAGGTAAAGTTATTGCACTGGGCAAGAAAACAAATAATTCGCATTGTGGGGTATAAATTGGAGGCAAATTTAGCGCACTTGAAATAAAATGTCAAGCTCATTTGTTCTTTCCGGTATAAAACCAATTACCGAGCCAATAACACAGTACGATGAGACGTTTGGCCGACGCCCAGCCCCTGACAGGGAACAGATGCTAATCCAGACCCAATTTCACCAACAAGTTATGATTTTGATTAAGTTAACGACAATAAACGCTATCTCAACCCCATATGAGCGAGTGTTAAAAATCAAAAAATTTATTTATATCATTTACTGACCCGCACCCACTTCGTTGGGGTGAAAAAACCCTATTTCTCTCCCCCCTTTTTTTTAATAACCTCCCCCAAAAAAAAAAAAAATTTTTTTTTTCCTTTTTTTTTCGAAAAAAGGAAAAAAAAAAACCCCTTTTTTTTCCCCCGGGTTTTTTTTTTTTTTTTTTTTTTTTTTTTTTTTTTTTTTTTAAAAAAAATTTTTTTTTTCTCCCGGGGGGGGCTTCCTTTTTTTTTTTTTTTTTTTTTTAAAAAAATTTTTTTTTTTTCCCCCCCCCTTTTTTTTTTTTTTTTTTTTTTTTTTTTTTTTTTTTTTTTTTTTTTTTTTTTTTTTTTTTTTTTTTTTTTTTTTTTTTTTTTTTTTTTTTTTTTATATACACTTAGATGATCGTCAATACATTGAACATATTTATTTTTGAACCTTTGATCAATGTCGTTATTTCTTTGATAAATTCAAAGCGAAAAATCATTTATTGTTGTAGTGTTGTACATTTATTGGATAGCTTTGGAGTCATACAAACGTGTTCCCAGGACTCCCTTAAAGCACCGTAGAGGGCTGGTGGTGTGTTTAGTGGTTCTGGTCGGCTATACCACACTCACCACGTTACGGCATTCACACCATCAGTTAAAAAAAGGTAGGTACATATATGAAAGTCACACCAGTTAAAAAAAATCCCTAATTTTATATTTACCTGTTCTCAAATTAACGGCGTAGACACGTTGTTTTAGTTTGCAACATATTTTGTTTGTTTCTCTAAACTAATGCTGATTGTAAACTGTGTAAAAATACATTTTCTAATTAAGTATCGTTTATCTTTTAGTTATTTAAATATGTTAGTTAAACATATATTATTTACAAATAATTTTGACTACGCCCCGACGTTTCAGATGCTTTGCACCAGCCGTGGCCACGGGGAGACATTTGGTAATAAGTTTAAGTGATATATTTCGCGTTTTTAACCGTTAAAGTGTTGTCTTAAGTAGAGATTTGAAATTTTGAAACAATCGTAGTGAAATTGGAGATGTATATTTTAGTTCCAGCTCAATTTTGGAGTGGGCGGCGCTTAAAATCTCAGGTGGAAACAAAATCACGCGAGCCAGTCGCTACGCGAAGTATTAATATAAACCAGGCTAAATTAAAACCAACGAGGATTCGCGAGTTCGCATCGTGTTACATTCATTTTATAAGTTTTATACTTGTTCGCTTTCACTCGCCGCACTTTTTCGGCGCACAAAATTATTCGAAACAAAAAACCTGTATATAGTGTACTTTTTTTAACTTGGCATTTTTTCGTAAGCAAATACACAATTTTCATGAAATCGCAATTTTCTCACACACGAACACTTTGAGATCCTGTATTAGATATTAAACTAAAATTCACTTAGTAGAAACCTCTATTTCATGCTAAAATAAATAAGAATCCTAAAAATTAATTAGGTAAGTGGACAGATATATACATTGTTTAGTTTGACATTTGGGAGCCGGTTGGTCGTACTGGTCTAACACGACTGCACATTCAGATGACTGCTTAAGGTCTTAACTTTAGAGTATAAGTTTGACATTTGCATTAGGATGGGATGTAAACAAAGCCAACGACAATAGAAGATAGAAGTCCCGTTCATTCACGATCGCTGATAAGCGTTACAAAAGTCGAGTTAAATAATATTGACATAAAAATAATAAAAAAAACCCGACGTTTTGACCCCTTGGCCTTGACTGCTGCAAAGCATCCGAAACGTCGAGTTAACTAATATATTTCGCATATAAAACCGTTAAAAGTGTTTTATTTAAATGTGTGTTCGCGTGAACTACTCTCTGTACTTTATTTCTTACTTTCCATTCCTTATGATATGTTTCGGTGATATTCTTATTTGTTTCCTGTATTAAATAAATAGTCTAGTCTAGTAAATTAATCCGTCTTTTAATTTAAGTGTCTTCTTGCAGAATAGTCTTTTATTTTTATTTATTATCTTTCCTGGTCCTGCCACATGATACAAAGATGGACAGTTTAGTTCTCTTCGAACTTCATCGAGGAATCTCTTGCGCAAGCTAGTATTTGAAAACCTGAACTACTGGATGTGACTCTGTGTCATATCACGCAGGAATATTCAAACAAATAACTTACTTACTAAGTAAAACTTTTCAATTGTACATTTGTTTATTAAGTTATGAAAAAGTGTATTACTAAGACATATTTTTATAATATTTATGGCCTTATGAAAAATATTGATGTTTTTTATATATTAATAAAAAAGGACAAGTAATTGTTTGTAAAAGATTTTAATAGACAATAAAATTTTAAAATAAACTCCATTTATTATGATGGGGAGATTTGCAAAAACCGATTTTGACGCCCAAAATTCTGCGCGGACGAAGTCACAGCTAGTAGTAAATATGACGAGAAACTTCTCTCGAGCAGGTGTGAATGCTAGTCTCAAAATACATCACCTGTATTACGCAAACTTATTCACTGAATAACTGAAGGTAGTAGTCAGATCTCTGAGATTTCAAAGCACGTGGGCGAGGCACACTTGTTTTTCGCTTTTTCGCCAAAAATATCGACCACCTACGACCGAACGCTGGCAAGCATCATAAGAACGATCCGTTACCGCTGCATTTTATATCTCCTATGTTTGTTTCCGACGATTTATTGTTGTGTATGAGTTAAATAAATACTGGCCTGGAATAATAAGCGAAGCAATT